AGCAACAAGCTTAGTGCTTTGTGCCGTTTCATTTAAGTCAAAACAGGTATAAAAACATGGTACTTAGATTTACATTTATCTCCAGAAATATTTAGATTAACCTCAACTACCTTTAGTTCCCAAGATAACTCACCATGACAGATAAACAGAAATAACTTTGCATAAAAAAAGGCAACTTATATATCAGAGACCTTGATACAGAGTAAGACCAACATGGATCTGTTATATAATATCTCAGACTTAAGTGCCTGTTGAGTTCCCTAATCACCTTTAAAAATTATGGTATCTGAAATGGATGTGTATGTACAACTTAATTATTTGACTTTTTAAAAATCAGTGTTTGAAAACACAAGATCACAGCTAATGAAGCAGTGGTTTGTAAAGCGGACTCTAGAAGACAGCATTCCGAAAGGAGTTGCTGCATCAGCACCAGAATTCAATTTACTCGAAACAGAGCAACTAAGTTACCTTTGTGCAGAGCGTGGAATACCCTGACTAGTCAGGTGTCTATAAGCCCCTTTACAATGTGCTTCTCCTTCTCTCTTTGAAGATGCACAAAAGGATTCTCAGGGGAACTAGCAACTTGTGAACTTATGGGTCCTCAAGTATTTAGAATGTATTACGCACTAACCTTTAAAGATTGAGAATAGATCATTTAGGAGGTAATGAAGAGCCAGTGCCCTGTTAATACTGGGTAATATAGTGCTTGTACTCTGAGGTAATTATTCCAGAGTAACTCCTTATTCATTAAAGTGGGAGCATCCACTTTCATCCTGGCCAAGGTTATATCTGTTGTTCGGGGAACTCTTTAAATTCTAAAGGAAGCCTGGCTGACCATGGGTGGCAATTTTAAAGAAAAAACACACAAAAAACACACAACAGTTAGTGAGTGAAGAATTTAGAAAATCTTTCTCTATTGCTTGTAGCTATTAAAGAGAAACAGGTCTAATTAGAATTTCTCCAAACTTCCCACTAAAACATGAATATCTATCAGTTCCAGGCAGTAATAATTTTGCTTAAAAGTACATCTGAAATTCTTTTCAACATGTAGTAATTTATTTTTTTCTTATTTGTCATGTTTTTCATATAGAAATAAGTGACCAAACCTTTGCTTTTTTTCAATTATTCTTGAAGCCAGGAAAAGGGAGGACCCAAAACCATTTGCGATGAGTTTTTGATGAGGACAGTGACCTTTAAAACTTCTATACTTTCGGAAGATTTACTGGATAATTTCACAAGCCTATTTGTCAGAGCTAAGGAATCTTTTAATTAGGAAATTGATGATGAGATATTAACTGATAGTGGAAATGTGCCATTTTCCTATTATATATCATGGCCTGCTTTTGATGTGCATTCGAGGAACAACACAAAGGCCCCTTACTTAGCATGAATAAGATTAGAGATTCATCTGTCTGTTTTGTGGTATTAATTTAGGGAATTCCTTTTTTCCTGTTTAAACCCTGGGCTGTGGATTGAAGAGTGATTATTCTCAGGTATGGCAACATAGACTGTTGTATAGAATTACTTCAATGAGGGTAAGTGGGATAGATAAAACAGGTATTGTTAATCCTCTCTCCATGATATTTTCCCATTGATTTTTAGAAAGAGTGAGGAGGAGAGAAAGAAAGAGAGAGACATTAATGTAAGAGAGACATCAATTGGTTACTGCCTTCACCCACCCTGACCTGGGTCAAAGATAGAAACTGCAACCCAGGTACATGCCCTTGATCTGGAATCGAACTTGTGACCCTTTGGTGTGTGGGCAGAAACTCTATATTCTGAGCTTCATTGGCCAGGGCTGCTGCTGTGAGGAAACTGGGCCTCAGAGAGGGTGAGTGAGTTGCTTAAGATTACACAGCCAGTGGATGACGGAAGTGAGGCTAGGGCAGATCTTTTCAACTCTGAACTGTGTCTTCATTAACTGTCATTAGAGTTACTTAAAGTAGGTATGCAGGATGAGAGCAGAGTCAGAAATGAACTTGAGTGCCCTCAGAGATGCTGGAAATAAATGGAAAACAATAGTTTGCATTGTATCAGCCTTTCAGCAGGTTTAAAACACACAGAGATGTGCATTTACCTTAAACCACAGAGACCTGTGCTTTAAGATTTGGGACTAAGGGAATTTATATGGACCCTGGCATCATGTAACTTATTACCTTGAATACAAAATTCACCTCTGATCATCTCTGTCAAATGGCTCTTAAAATAGTTCATGGGTTCAATTCAGAGAACTGCTTTTCAAAACAAATGCTATCATTAGGTTACTTTGTAAATCCCCAAATGCTGTGAAGTGTGTGATATTGTGTTATGTATAATCCCAACAATGCCATGTTTATTTTAGTCTGCAGATTTGTTGTAAAGAAACAAAGACAGATTATATAATCAAGGCTATAGTTACTTGGGTGTAAGAAATAACCACAATTGATATAAAAGAGAGTTTTCTTTATTTTATTTTTCTTTTACTTTTCATTATTAGCTTCACTCTTTTGACAAATACTTATCGATCCCTGAATTTTGTTAGGCCCTGAATTGGTAAATAAATGTGGGAACCGCACTGTGTTAATAACAGTGTTTCTTTTCCTGGTAGGAATATAAATTGGTATAGTCTGTTTAAAAAGCCTGAAAAAAATCATCTTATTTTGATCCAGTAATAATATAATTATGTTCTGAGGAAATAATGGTGCAGACTAGAGCCCCTAAGTGTAGGCTGACTGGGTGGGGATGAGGGGTAGTGGGAATTCACTCTGGGCTCCAATCCCTAGTCCCTGCTTTCTGATGAGGGTCATTCTAGAGAGGGCATCCTTTCTAGTTGCACGAAGGGGTCATCCAGGCTAACAGAGGCTCTGGTGTACACAAGATTTACATAGAAGGGTGTTTAGTTGTTGTCAGTAATAGCAACAGATCATAATCTGTTAGACAATGGAGTATTATGTATCCCTACAATGGGGTATTCTAAATTTTGGATTAAGCATTAATAAATTGGCTCATGTGAAAACACTTATGGTGTTTTAAAATGTGGAAAAAAATTACACAACCACATTTTGAGATATAAGGAGCCAGAATGTAAGATTGAAGCCAATTTTGAAGTACTGGTACATTCTGTTAAGAAGTTGGAAGTGATTCATTTAGATATATTTTGAAGACTAGGAAGGACAACATGTGTTTGATAAGAACATGGTGGTTTAAATGACTTTTAAATTCTTTCAAGGGATTCCATATTATGGCTTCATAATGTAAAATAGAAGACTTATACTCTAAATTTTAAGAGAATATTTTTAGTCTGCCACTTAGTATTAAAATATTACATTTATATTATACTAGAAGCCCAGTGCACAAATTCTTGCACAGATGGGGTCTGGCCAGCCCACCCCAATTGGGGTCAATTGGGGTCAATTGGGCCTGGCTGTCTAGAGGAGGGGCCAAGGGAGGTTGGCAGCCCAGACTTGCTCCTGGTAGGGGAGTGGGGAGCAGTTGGGAGAGGGACTGTGGCTGGTTGGCTGGCTGGCCCTGTCCCCTAGTTGAACTCCTGGTCAAATTCCTGTTCTAACTCCCGGTTGAGGGGACAATTTGCATATCAGCCTTTTATTATATAGGATTGATTTTTTTAGTAACATTTCTAATAGTAGTAAAGGTTATAGTATGCATTGGGATGTATGTTTTTGAGACATAAGAGACATATATGAGAGAGAGAGACAGAAGCAGACAGAGACAGGGATATATATGTATGTGTATATATATGTATATATTATGTGTGTGTGTGTGTGTGTGTGTGTGTGTGTGTGTTTATTTATTTATTTATTTATTTATTTATTTATTTACTTAAAACTGGGATAATATTAAAGTCCAGTTTCCCTTACCGGCTACACCCATAGAACTTGTGAATTATAATATATTTCCTTTAGGGTATGGCTTTATGAGTGAGTGAACTCTTTCTTTTTGTTCAAATGTATGGAAACACATGCAAAGGAAACCTGGCCCAGTCCTGCAGTGCGGACGTTGGCACAGAATGTCTAAGGACTCTAGGCGTGTCCCTTCTTGAATGTAGTTTTAAAAAAGAAAAAAAAAAAAAAAAAAAAAAAAGCCAATTGCTTCTAGTCTAACAAGCTGGCTTAAGTGAATGCCAAAGAAAATTTGCCTCATGAAATGGAAATTCTGAAGCAAGTTACATAATGTTGAGGGGAAAAAATAACACAAAATAGGAGGACTTTCAAGATATATCCAAATGGGGCAAATGGTCCATTTTAATTAGAACTCTCCAATCCAGCAATATTTAATTATATTTGGGAAGTTCCAAATGGTCCCTGGGATTTGGAAATTTTTGACCATATAAATATTTACTTTATATTTTTTTGAATTTGTAAGAGGTGACATTTATTAACTTAGATCAATTTTTAAAGTTGCTTGGGTATTGATCAACATGGAGTCATAAAAATGTATCATATTAATTATTCTGCACATTCGTATCATCTGTAAAGAGGAAAAAACAAACACATTTCCCTTGAAAACCAGCATGATTGAAAAATCTCTTAGTTGCTAAGACTAATGGAATCAAGTGCCCCAGTTGGAGTATTTGTGAATTCTCTTTCATGTATTAGATTTACCTTTAAACTGCTTTCTACCAGTTGCTTCTCAAGCTTCTCTCTCTGTTGCATACCTTTCTTTTTCTTTCTTCCCTCCCTGATCTTTCTCTAGATTTTCATTATCTTGTGTCCAGGATCTTTCTCAGTGTCATTGCTGGTGTTTGTGCCTTTCTTCCCTAATTTCTCCATTTTGCCCTTTACTTGGCTGCTAAAGACCAAGCAAAAAACAAGCAATAGAAGAAGATATATTTCTCAGCTATTATGTTTATGTCATTCCACAAATAAAAAATTTAAAGGATTGCAGAATTAGATTTGTTTTCCTCCAATGGAAGTGTGTTATCAACATGTGGAACTTTTCCTCATTGTTGTTTTGTGTGCTTTTCTTGCAGGATCAATGTGACTCTAGAAACAAATGGATGAATGAGTATCCATATGAAGAGGAAAACAATAAAGGTTGGTTGGTCAAACTGTATAGTTGCAGTGAAAATCCCATTTTGAACATGACTTTTGGGTAGATGTTTTCATTAAAGCACTTCCTTGTCTGAATATGAGACAGAGGTCAATACTTACATATGCGCATCTATCTACAGAGTGTAATTTTTGTTTTTAATGCCTTAAATATAAATAAATGTATGAGGAGGCAAACTGTTTTTGTACAAGTGTGCCTGTCTTCGGTTTTCAGAACTTAAGTTGGTGTTTTAAGAATCAACTTTTAAATGGATAGTAGGAAATGGGAAACCAGGTGATAAAACTGATAACCGGTGACAAAGACAAAAAAAAAGAGTAGCCAGATTTTGTTTAATATATATCAGTTCCTCCAAGCATAATCCTAATACTAACACCGAATGGTGTATGATTTCTGTCAAATGCTGTCCTCTTTTATCTATGGTCTTGGCTTTCCTTATGGAGTAGGGTGATTCTGAAAGGATTTTAACTTTGGCTTCTCACAAGCATGTTCTAGGATTAATTAGAGGAGGAAAAAATCCTACAAATATCAACAGGAATCAAATGGTGCGTGTTACGTCGATGTGGTAGTTATTTGAGCTTTTCTTGTACTCCATACTGATTTTAGTGTAGAAATAATAGGTAATACTGTTACAATACATTAAATCGCCTTCATTTCATAAGGTTTATACACTGAGAACAGGACCTGTACACATGCCTGTGTCTCATAACTCTTCATATAGCTGCACAGCACTTAAAATTTCATATTTTCCTTCCCCCAGCTTCTCATGCTACTTTTAAATAAATGTATGCCATGTTATGCTTTCTCTGGGAGTCTACTTTCATAATTACTTACAAATGGTTTTCCAGGTTATATCTTTCACGTGAAATTGACTTCCTCTTTTTTTTTTTCTCACTGTTGCTAACATTGCTCCTTTCTAATATATGCTTGTGTCTGGACTAGTTTCAGACTCTCGGGGGAGTATTGATGCAGAGGTGTTACAAGGGAGACTTCTGGGTGTAATAGTAATGTTCTCTTTCCTGACCTTGTTGCCTAGGTGGGCACACTTTGTGAGAATTAGTTGTACTGTGTATTTGTACGCAAATTATCACTGTGCTAGTGAACCCGCCATAGGGGCTGGGTTTGGGAGGCTGGATCTGTCGCATTTGTCAGTTACCATGGTATAAAACTCCCACTATGGCTGATTTCAAAGGTTTAACAACCAGCCTGCAAGTGTCCTTAAAATTTAACAATTGGCTCTCATGAGCTGGGGTCCAGCTAACTCGATGTCTCACACCATTGAATTTCATTTCCAAAGTAAAGAAACAATTTCACATATTCCTTAGCACTATAGGGCAAATGTAGTAAATTTACATTTTCCTGGCTCATCCCTATGTAAATATGAAAACCTTCTTCACTCATTATCGTTTAAAATATATTTATTCCTTAACTTATATACGACGTTGGTATAATATTACTTTATGTTTATGTTCAGTTGTTATTAAATTTTTGTTTGAGTGCATTAGTGTTAGCTTTGTAGGTTTATGCATTTTGACAGTGTCATTGTTCTGTAACTAATTTTATGATAACTAAAGATGATGGCAAAGAGAATCATTGTGTGACTACTTTCCCTAAGGATGAACTCTGAAAATATTATCATGATTGACTATAATATACTATATGTGTTTCATTGTAAATGATTATGCCTCATAGCTATAATTCATGAGTTCATAAGTCTTTATAGAGGAAGGAGCAATGAGTATTTCACTGAATATGTTTTTCCAATGAATTATTTTTTTCTATTGCTGTTTTTCATATTTTTTTATCCATCCGTATTTTCAGTTATAGATGCCTTAGAACAGAGTGCATTTGATTCTTGTTTTTAAGCCAGCTTGAATCTGATGCTGTTAGTTTTAACAAAGTCTGATTCTGGGGGGAAATTGCAGAATTTGAAAATTTATGTTTTCTAAATATTTTGAATATACAATAGGTCTTCAGTTACTTCGGAGATTCATTCCTATTGTGTGACTTAACACGATTTTTGCCATAAGTTGGGACCCACCTACATAAGCATCTACATCACTCACATGGAGCATGTACACAGCAGTAATGAAGTGAAACAGTAAAAAAAAAAAAAAAAAAAAAAAAAAAAAAATTAAAAGAAAGATAACAATTCCTGACCATTACTTTTGGTAAATATAGTATATAATGAAAAAAACAGAAAGCGCATATATATGACGGGACTTTTTTTTTTTTTAATAAATAAATGGGAGATGGCGATGTAACCATGTAACCATGAAACCATTAAATGATGTAAGTCGAGTCTGATGTAACCCTAGGACTGCCTGTATTGGAGAGGTTGTTATTAAGATGAAGTTTAAAAAAATCTCAGCAGTGGGAGCAACATTGCCACTGTCTGCATAATTAAAAAGGAATTTGAATATGGCTCATAAAATTATTTTGTACCTTTCCTCCTTTTTGCCAGTGGTGATAAAATCTTGCGAAGAGTCACAAAATATCATACTGTGCCTTCGTGCTCAGGGTTTAAAATTAACAGCCTAAATAGCATTTGTAAAATACCTTTGTGGCTATAACAAGTTTTACTTCCAAGAGCAGTCTTCATCTATCCTTTCCTTAAAAAAAAATATATATATATATATATATATATATATATATATATATATATATATATATGTATATGTATACACACACACATACATACACACACCGTGTGTGTGTGTATACATTCATATATATATATATATATATATATATATATATGTGTGTGTGTGTGTGTGTGTGTGTGTGTGTGTGTTATTTCTTATGTTAAATTTTTAATTTTTTCTTTTACTCAGTTTCATCGCACTCGAAGTTGTCCCTGTTAAAAAACATCAAATAAATTCTAAAAAGCTTCCAGATATCCATTATTTTTGTTCCCAAATATCTGCATGAAGTCCTATCTCCATGCTCTCACAGCTGCTGCCTTTGTGAATGAGGTGACTCTGTGGACCTGGCTCTACACCCTGTTTTGACTTCACTTGCCTTTCAGCCACTGCAGTATGCTTACCAGGTGCTTCTCAGCAGCTGGCTTAGAGCAGGTGTCCAAAACATGCACATACACATACACTGTGCAGCTTATCAGAGCTCACATGAAAACTTCTGCTGTGAGCTACCCCTGATGAACAGCTGTTAAACTGTTCGGCGTAGCAATGGGTGACTTCTGCTTCTTGTGTTTAAAATCTAAGAGGAGGACAATAGCAAACCTTTCTGAGAAAGCTTTAGTTCCTTACAAAATAAAAAATAAAAGTTTGTTGTATTATGATGCAGTAATGGACACACAGACTGTGGTTACTTTACAAGTTTTTTCCATGAAGTTCCAGTTCTTCACACAGGATAGAAAGATTGTAAGAGCAGCCACTCATCCTTCTTTCCATTTACAACTGAGTAGGGGTAGTTGCTCAGAAAGCCCTGTTGGCAGAAATGAAATGTCAGCAAACATTTATATATAGTAGCTGCCTACGCCTTAAGCATGGAGTCAAAAACAGTCAAGCCCTGGCTCTGCGATTCTCTCTGTATGATCTTGGACCAGTGACTTTTTTCTGAATTTTATCTTCCAAATTGCAAGGTACAATGAATAACACCTGTCCTACCTATTTCTAGAGTTGTAATGGGGGTGAAAGAAAATAGGACATATTTGTAGCAACAATTTAAAGTCATAGAATTCTAAAGCTGTGTGTGGTATTGATGCTATTATTTTTACAGTCTGTAACAGAGATTCAGGACATTTTTGGATGACTTTCCATCAGAAAGTAAAGGATTCTCAGAATTGGAAGTGCCCTCAAAGTTCCCTGACTGACATGTGCTTGGTGTGTGGTAGCCTTCCATAGGCGTCGGCTGCTTTAGCAGTAGGTTGAGTGCTCTTTGGAATTTCTTACAGTGTGAAGCCGTTCATCCTATTTCCAGGCACATACAATCATAGTACACGTTCTTCCTCTTACTCAGCCAAATCAGTAGGTTGGATAATGACATGAACTCAGTACACACATCACATACTTACTACGATATCGTCCTCGATTAGGTCACTCTTCTGTCAAGTCCCTTCTTTCTCCTTTGGGTCCCTCATTTCTCTGATCTGGGAAATTAGAACAAAATGATATACAGGGAGTTGAGAAAGATGGTACAATTATTGAAGTAGAATAATGGCTTTGTTCTTTGAGAAGATGATGCATTGCTCATTTTACAAACATTAAAGCAGGCAAAGCCCTATTGTCCCCCCACCTCACACCTATTAACATGGGTGAACTTTTTTTCCAGCATCTCTGTGTGAATACATTCAAGTAAATAGAGGCAGTTTACAAAAGCAGGAGTGTATATATACACTTTGTATTTCTGAAGAAGAGTTATTTTTTTCACTTGGCTTCCAATATAATGGAAGAAATAGAAACTGAATTTAAGATGAACAGTTTATTAATTTCTAGCTGATGCTGTCACTTAAGAGTTAAGCAGGGGGAGAGGAGCGCACTTTTTGAGTTCTGGCAGTTCTGCTCAAACGGAATTTAACTTTCAACAACATCTTTTGATTTTTTGCTAAGAAAAATGGGAAATTGATGGTATTTCTTTCTAACTACCTTTCTCTCTCTTTGTTTTATTACCTTTTCAAAATTGAGGTTATTCATGATTTCTGATTGTTAGTCATAATTATGAGAGCTATTTCATCTTCATTCTTACTTTTCTCAGAAATATGAAAACAAGGCCTTACTGCCGTCTGGCATCTGTGTTCCTGCGAAGGCTGATGCCACCTGGTCTTTCCTGTGTTCCTGTGTTGCTTTTTGGGCAGATATCCATGGACTATTTTTAGTGAACTAGAAGTTCAGTAAATACATCGATTTTTGTCTGCTTTTTATCATCTATATTGGTTTTTCTTGGCTTCTGCCACTGACGTCTGAGACGTAGAGTCTGTTTTTATGTTTTCAGGTTTTAAAATTATAATGAAAACATATTTTCTGTT